TTCTATCTCACTGTCTTATTTTCCTCCTAACTTTTCTAGTAACTCCTTATTAGTCTCCTTTATGGGCTTTTTCTTCCTCCACTAACTTTTCAAATATTGGTGTTTCTGGGCTCCATACGCAGCTATTTTTACTCACATTCTCTTCCCAAGCAATGATATCATACCTAAAGATCTCAGCTTTCACACACATATATATGCTGTTAATTCTCAAATCAATATTTCTAGTTCAGATTTATCTCCTGAAAAACAGCCCTTTATATCCAACTGCTAATGAGATCTCTCCACTGACTATCTGACAGCCCTCCTCTCTGGCAAACTTGCTCCCTACCCAGTCTCCTTAACTCCAAGAAGGCAGGTGATTACATCCTCTTATTAAATAAGTAATTTAAGTTTCTTGATTGACTATCCTGAGGAAAAACTTCTTTCAACACTCCTACACTTTTATATCCTTCCTTATATATGTTTTCCTTAACAATTCTATTTCTGGATTAAACAGACAATTATTACTGCCTTTATTTTATCACTATTTAGTCACTTCCTAACTTCCTACATCTTAATCACTCATCTCTTTACCAAAACGGCCCTCCCTGTAGCATTGATGATATTGTCTAATAATCATTAATTTTTTTCTTTTTCCAAGTGTGATTCTACTTTGCCTTATACTACTCTGTTTGCTCAGTCTGTTTACACTGGTATTCCCTAGACATTCTACTGTCACCTAAATAATGGCATTTTCCAAGCTACTTTGGTAAAGTGAAAGGTGGAGAAGGAAAGTGAGGAAAAAATAAGAGAGAGATTGAGGGAGAGAGAGAAAAAGAGAAAAGGAGAGACTCCTTCAGGGACTATTAACTCCCTAGGGTTCAATAAATCAAACTATTCTGATAATATCCTATCCTAGCTCCAGGATCAATTTTTTCAAATAGCTGTGTATGGGGGAAAAAGCTATAATTGAGAAACATGGAGCACTTTTTATATTCTCACAAAAACATACATACTCTGCCTCCACAGTTTCCTCTTGCTGTTACTCTTTTTCTTCCCAAGCATCAAGAAATAAAATCAAATTGTTTTTAAATGCCATATCACGGCAACATCCAATAAAACATTAAATTATATAAATTCCTGCTGAGTGGCTTCTCACATCAGCCCCACATCTCCTTTCCTCTGCTTGTGACAACACTCTTAAATATCCTCATCATCTCTCACAAAGACTCTTACAACAGCCTCCTCTAACTTCCTCTGCCTTTCATCCTTCTCTGCTTGGATCAATCCTAAATATTACCCATGGCATGTCAATCAAACACTCTGCTCCAAGTCCTTCATGGTCTCTATGCTATTTTTTAGCTATAACTATAGAATGCCACTGTCTGGCATTAAAATCCTCCACCAATTTGCCCCAGTTTAACTCCTGCTATTTCCCAACCAACTAGACTAATGTCTGTGAACCTACTCCATATGTGTCTCTCTCTGTATTTTTCAAAGCATTTTCTTTACCTATAATAATTTACAATTTTTCATTCCCTCATATGAAATTATCAAGCCTCTAAGTAGAGTTCTGGGAATAAATCTTTCACTGCCCTTATTATCATATGACCACAAATTCCTTTTATGACACAGAGAATTTTGTTTTCAAAATATGTTTTAATCATACCTAATACTTAGACACTTACATGAGAAAAATATTCAACGTCATGAATGTGAAGGTGAATTACATGGCGTTTCACTTCTAATAGTGACAATGCAGCTTGTATTGAACTAACTCCCACAGATAATGATGATTAACTAAGTAAAAAATATAAAAAACAATTATTTGAAGGCACTGGAGATGAGGTAAGAGCAGACAGAGACTGGAGAGTTCTTCACTCAAGGAAACCTCCTAATTCATGTGGTGAGGAATGGCTACAACTCAAGCAGAAAGCTAGAGACTAGCCTGGAAAGCCACAGAACAGATATCTAAGGTACCAGATCAGATGAAAAGTGAGACAACGTACCCAGAAACTGAAGAAGGCACCCTGAGATATATGCATATACTCTCTCCCAAATCTTTAGCTGACAGCTGAACTACAGGTGCAAGCAGACCATGAAAAGCAGTGGCTACAAAGCTGACAGAGATTTGTGGCTGCTGCCTGCTGCAAGGGAGCTTGGAGTGGGAGTCTTGACAGGTAAACGCCCTACTAGAATAAAAATTGACCCTATTCAAAAGATAACAGAATTCAGAACACAAAATAAAAACATATAATCTATAATGTCCAGTACAAAATAAAAATTACTAGACATGTAAAGAGACAAGAAAATATGATCCACAGCAAGAGAAAAAGTAGTCAATGCAAAATTACCTTATGCTGACCCAGGTGTTTAAGTTAGCACACAGGGATTTTAAAATAGCTGTTAACGTATGTTCAAAGGCTTAAAGGAAAATATAGTCACAATGGGTAAAAATATGGGGGAAAGCTCAGTATAGAAATGGAAAATATACAAAATGAAAGTTCTAGAACTAAAAAGTACAGTATTTATACATACCATTAGTGGAGTGGGCTTAACAGCATATTAAAGATGTCAGAAGAAAGGGTTAATAAGCTTGAAAAGAAATGAATAATATTTATTCAATTGGAAAAACAGACAAGAGAGTGAATAAAAATGAACAGACTCTCAGTGATCTGTGGGACAATGCCCAAAAGTCAATTTGTCTGCCTGTCTGTTTGTCTGTCTGTCTATTTATCTCTCTTTCTCTCTCTCTGAATGAGAGGATTGAGGGAATGAGGCAGAGATTTAATTTAAAAAAAAAAGGCCATAAGTTTGGCACAAAATGTAAACTCAGTACCTAAAAATCTTAGTGTCCCAAGAAATATGAATACCAATCTCCCAACTACCATTCCAACCACACACATAGGCACACTATAGAAAAGCTACTGAAAAACAAAGACAGAAAATTTTGAAAGATAAAGCAATTACAAACAGAGTAATATCATTATGAATGAAACCTGAATTTACAACAGAAAGCGGTTATAAGATAATAAAGCATTTCTGAGATGTTTAAAGAAAAAAAAATTGTTAACCGGAATTCTATCTCCAGGGAAAATATCCTTCCAAAAAAAAGATGAAATACAGGTATTTTCAGATAAATGAAAACTAAGAGGATTGTTGCCAATAGATCTGCACCAAAAGTTGTATATATTCTAAGTTTGCATGAATATCTGTGTTTGTATAAACATGTGTACATATGTGTACACATATGTATACTTTGTATATCTGTATATATGTAAACATTCTGACTTTGCACTGGATTTATTTGCTTTCGATGTCTTTGTCTGAAGTCTTTCCCACTATATGGCCTGCACTGTTTCCGTAAAATAATTTAGTAAATACACTATGATGTGTTTGTGTATGCTACTTAACATTAATCTACAACTAGGGATGGTTAGTTAGCATTTAAAATATGCAAATCAAAAATCCTGCCTATAAAGACACTTCACGGCTGAAATACCTCAATCAGGGCACTCTGCAGAGGCAGTAAGAGTAAACACTTCAGATACTACTAATTTCGTGTGCACCTGAATATTAACTAGAATCAAGAATATCAGAAATAATTTTTCACTAATGAAATGAATGTTGTTCTTCACGTGCAGTGGCTGAAAATATTTTATAGTCACTGCTACCCTTTTCATAAACGGGGTGTAAGAATCAGGAGAAACTAACTGCTGTAGCTCTGTTTTGTCTGTGTCCTGTCTTAACTGAGGATTCTGCCTTCTAAACTCAATAAAAGGTAGCAGGCCCTGACACCAGTATATTGTTTAGTATGCCTCACAGTGAAACTATGACATAAGGTGCTTGAAAATGTACCTAAATAAACAAGAGTGGAGAAC